GATGATCCATCATGAAGACATAACCATAATAAACATCTACACACCCAATGACAGGGCTCCAAAATACATAAAACAAACTCTAACAGCACAGAAAAGAGAAATTGACAGTTCCAGAATAATAGTAGGAGACTTCAACACACCATTCTTGGTAAAGGACAGAACATCTAGAAAGAAACTCAGCAGAGACACAAAAGAGCTAAAGGACACAATCAGCCAACTTGACCTCATAGACATATATATAATGCTCCACTCAACAGCTGCAAAGTACACGTTCTTTACCAATGTCCATGGAAAGTTCTTCAGAATAGACCATACCTTAAGTCACAGAGCAACCCTCAACAAAATCCCAAACATAGAGATAAAACAAAGTATCTTCTCTGACCACAACACCATCAAGGTAGAAATTAATAACAGGAATAGCAAGGGAAAGAAATCATTTACATGGAAACTGAATAGCACCATGCTTAAAAACCACTGGGTAATAGAAGAAATTAGAGACGGAATCAAAAAATTCCTAGAATGAAAACACATCATACCAAAACCTTCAGGCCACAGCAAACACAGTCCTCTGAAGACAATTTATAGCAATAGATGCACACATTAAAAAAGAAAGAGACAAAATAAAAACATTAGCTACACAACCCGAATAAATTGAAAGAGAACAACAACAACAAAAAAAAAAAAGCCCACAGCCACCAGAAGAAAGGAAATAATAAAGATCAGAACAGAAATAAATGAAATAGAGAATAGAAAAACAATAGAAAGAACCAACAAACTCCAAAGTTGGTTCTTTGAAAAGATCAACAAAATCGACAAACCACTGGCCAAACTGACAAAAAGAAAAACAGGAGAGGATGCAAATGACCCAAATAAGAAATGAAATGGAGAATATTACAACAGCCTAACTGAAATAAAAAGGATCATAACAGAGTATTATGAAAAACTGTACTTCAACAAATTTGAAAATCTAGAGGAAATGGACAAATTTCTAGAAACACACTACCTACCCAAACTAACACAAAATGATGTTGAAAATCTGAACAGACCCATAACAAGAGAAGAGATTGAAAAAGTAATAAACAAAACTCCCACCAAAAAAAGCCCTGGCCCAGCTGGAGAATTCTACCAAACATTCAGAAAAGAGCTTACACCAGTACTACTTAAACTATTTCAGAACATAGAAAAGAAAGCAATACAAATGTTGAACCACCCTTACATACGTGGCATGAATCCCACTTGGTTGCGGTATATTATTTTTTTGATATGATGATGAATTCTATTGGCTAGAATTTTGTTGAGAATTTTTGCATTTATATTCATGAGAGATATTGCTCTGTGCTTTTCTTTTTTTATGGTGTCTTTACCTGGTTTTGGTATCAATCAGGGTTATGCTGGCTTCATACAATGAATTTGAGAGTATTCCTTCCTTTTCAATGCTCATTAGAAAATTGATCAACGTAATCCACCACATAAATAAAAGGAAAAAAAAAGAATCACATGACCATCTCAACTGAGGCAGAAAAGGCATTCGACAAAGTCCAACACCCATTCCTAATAAAGCTTTCAATAAAATAGGTATAGAAGGGAAATTTCTCAACGTAATAAAGGGAATCTATGCAAAACCAACAGCCAACATCATTCTTAATGGAGGGAGGCTGAAAACATTCCCCCTGAGAAGAGGAACAAGACAAGAATGCTCTTTATCACCACTCCTATTTAACATTGTGCTGGAAGTCCTAGCTAGAACAATAAGGCAAGAAAAAGAAATAAAGGGCATCCAAACTGGTAATGAAGAAGTTAAACTGTCCCTATTTGAGGATGATATGATATTATACATGGAGAACCCAAAAGACTCCATGAGAAAACTACTGGAACTAATAGAAAGATTCAGCAGAGCAGCAGGATACAAGATAAACATACAAAAATCAGTTGGATTCCTATACACCAATAACAAGAATGATGAAAACGAAATCAGGAAAACAATACCATTTGTAATAGTCCCTAAAAAATTAAAATACTTAGGAATAAATCTAACCAGGGATGTAAAGACCTATACAAAGAAAACTAAAAAAATACTATTGAAAGAAACCCAAAGGGATCTACATAAATGGAAAAACATACCATGCTCATGGATAGGTAGACTCACCATTGTGAAAATGACAATTCTACCCAAAGCAATTTACAAATACCATGCAATTCTGATGTAAATACCAACAGCATTCTTTAAAGAGATGGAAAAACAAATCATTAACTTTATATGGAAAGGGAAAAAGCCCCGGATAAATAAAGTACTATTGAAGAAGAAGAATAAAGTAGAAGGACTTGCACTACCTGACCTCAGAACCTACTATACAGCTACAGTAGTCAAAACAGCCTGGTACTGGTACAATGACAGACACATTGACCAATGGAACAGAATTGAGAACCCAGATGTAAATCCATCCCCCTACAGTCACCTGATCTTTGACAAGGGCCCCAAGTCCATCA